TCCCCTCAAAAGTGTAGCTGGCTTGATTCAGACATTGAGTCTTGGATAAAACCTACCCTGGGATGTACCAGCACTACCTGGGGAGTACCTCCTTAATGGGAGTAAAACAAAGAGATAACTTTTGAGTTGCCAGGACTTTCATTGGGATAATAGGGACATGCATATGTAGGCTAGACACCTTATTTGGTAGCTGCGTGTATTAAGAGAGAAAAGAAAAAGAAACTAAAAGAAAAAAGTTCAGAAGGATGCATTCCCTTAAGTATGCTAGCTTGAAATCTATAAACCAAGTTCCTGATGTTCTGGTCAAAGGCAGGCATTTTCATCAGATCAAGTAACTACTCATGCACCAACAACAGGACACAGTCAATAAGGTCTTTTGCAAAGTAACTGTCCTTCTAAGCCAAAGGAAACAAGGATTGTTGTTGTTTTGTGTGTGTGTGTGTGTGTGTGTGTGAGAGAGAGAGAGAGAGAGAGAGAGAGAGACGGAATTTCACTCTGTCATCCAGGCTGGAATGCAATAGTGCGGTCTCGGCTCACTGCAAACTCCACCTCCCAGGTTCAAGCAATTCTCCTGCCTCAGCCTCCCAAGTAGCTGGGATTACAGGCACCCACCATCACACCCGGCTAATTTTTGTGTTTTTAGTAGAGATGGGGTTTCACTGTGTTGGCCAGGCTGGTCTTGAACTCCTGACCTCAGATGATATGCCTGCCTCAGCCTCCCGAAGTGCTGGGATTACAGGTGTGAGCCACCACGACTGGCCACAAGGATTGTTTTAAAATTTAACCTTAGGTTCCAGCATACTGAAGTGTACCAAAAGGTGAACTCAAGCTTTGAAGGGATACAATAGGTGTTTTTACTGAGTTCTGCTGAAGAGAGCTGTAAGCATTTCAGGTGTGGAAATGATGGAAGGAATCCGCCTTGGGTTGTGATTATTTGAACAAAGTAAAATCAACAAACAACACTCAGGCTGTAGGTAAGTTTCCCGCTGTGCCAGTTTTGTAATAAAGGTGCTTTTCTTTTCAGCTGAACTTTCCATCGAGACTTAAATCGTTTATTTCTTTGGAGGTAATTTAAGCACACTGCCAATGAAATAGTTTACTGTGTTTAGGTTTTTTAGAAAAAGAAATTTGATAGCACACAGTTTCATTAATTTGAATATGAATATGCCTAAAAATATTCCTAATATTCTGGAAGATCCCTCTGATTCCTCTGATCAGAAGACCTGAATGGCAGACCTGAATGACCTATAGACTGCTTAGAAAATGAACCAAACAAGGAAAAATCACACAGAGGTAAAAAGGAGTTCTAACTTATTTGGAAACATTTCATTAATCTGCTTATTAGAACTGTAAGCATCAGTTTGTAACTATAACAGAGAAATAGTGGAATGCTAATCTAGGTAACAAATGTCACTTAGAATCAACACTTTTTTTCCCTTCTCACCATATAATTGTTAAAACAAAGCAAGCCTTCAGAGTAGGTGACCATGTATCACTTACTGAAGGCTAGAAGGGGACTCCTTTTCTAAAGTGGTTCACTCTCTATTTATTATGGGGTCTGAAATTATACCATTGGAGATTTATTTCTTAGACCATGACAGTCTTTTGTTCATTGAAGAAGAATCGACTTTTAAAGTACAAATACCCATGGTATGGGTGGCTCAGTAAATATTACACTATATATATGTATATATATTTTATTTTACTCTTTGAGACCCTGTCTCACTCTGTCACCCAGGCTGGATTGCAGTGGTGGGATCTCAGCTCACTGCAACCTCTGCCTCCCAGGTTCAAGTGATTCTCCTGCCTCAGCCTCTGGAGTAGCTGGGATTGCAGGTACCCACCACCATATCCAGCTAATTTTTGTATTTTTAGTAGAGATGGGGTTTCCCCATGTTAGCCAGGCTGGTCTCAAACTCCTGACCTCCGGCGATCCATCCACCTCGGCCTCCCAAAGTGCTGGGATTACAAGTGCGAGTCACCATGCCCGGCCTACACTATATTTTAACTTGACCACTAGTTGAAGGTGTATTGGCGATGTTTTTTGTTTGTTTGTTTAAATTTATTTTCATTTTATTTTTTGAGACAGAATCTTGCTCTTTCACCAAGGCTGAAGTGCAGTGGCAAGATCTCAGCTCTCTGCAACTTCTGCCTCCCAGGTTCAAGCAAGTCTCATGCCTCAGCCTCCCAAGTAGCTGGGATTACAGGAATGCACCACCACGCCTGGCTAGGAGATACTGATTTTGCCTATCACTCTTTTCCAGTAATGAGATATTCCTTTAAGAAAGTGGATTTCTCTTAATTCAGCTCTGTGCTTTTGGTGGGAGCTGCCAGCTGGAGCATTCTCCTTCCCCATGTTTACTTCCTCTACCCTGCCACCCAGTGGTGGAGACATGACTACGGTTTGTCCAACCTTATTTCCTCAGCCCTGGCCACAAAGATTGGTTCATATCCACAGATGGGTACCCAACTAAGCTAGGATTGATTTCTTTCTTGTACTTTCCAACTGGAGCTAGTGGAAAAATGCTTTCTTTCCTCCCTGGAGATTATATGATAAGGAGGGCAGCCCATAGCTGCTTGTGGCCATATTTCCATTCTCTTCTGACATCTAGCTTGAGAGAATCAAGTCTCAATGCAGAGAGAAGCAGAGGTGAGTGACACAGAAGTTTCCTGATGGTACTTTAGACTGGAATCCATCTGACTCTAAGGCTAGTGCAGTGCTCTCTCTTGGTTTGTTTACATGCACCAGTAAATCACCCTTTCTCCTTAAGCTGTTATGACTGGAGCTCATTTGCAAACAGAGGTCTGAAAACCCAAAACAAACATTTTACAAGATAATCAGGGCAGTGGTGTTGTTCTAGGTCCAGAAACGTGTGTGTGTGGGGGGGTGGGTCAGCCCTAATTGTCCTGTGATTAAATAGGGGTCATTGTGTGTTAAAGTTACTGGAGATCTTTTCAGACTTTATTCTGAAGTGAATTCAGAGGCCAAGGTTACCAAGGTTTCTGAGAATGCTGGTTAATATTATGCTGGGACCACAATGGCCTTGACGATCTCGCGGACTATTGAATTTGGGTGAGGCTGCAAGGGACCTGCGGAAGAGCAAGATTGTGCAAATATTTGATTTAGGATCTTGGTGCTACATGTCAGTCAACTAAGTCAGTTTCCCCACCAAATAAGAGAAGCAACATGTAGCTCCAAAAGAGAATCACTGTTTTGATCCATAATGGATCTTACAATGACTGGCTTTATTTAAATCTTAAATTTACATCTGTTCATGAGTAGCCATGTTTTTCTCTACAGGTAGTTAAAAAAACCACATACACAAACAGAATAATGGGCAAAAAAAAAGGGTAGGATTTAATGTTTTCTTCCCTCTCCCAAGCCATTAGAGTCCTAGTCCCTCAGTATTATTTAAATTTTGCCCTCTCAAAATATCCGAGAGACAAAATTGTCATTAGACAGTAAGTAATATTGAAAAAAGAAAACTAAGAAGAATTGGAGACCTTGCGATTATTTTTCTTTGCACGGGGTTTAAAATGCAATTGAAAAGTTGAAAGCTTCTCTTAAGCGAGCTGGGGAACCTTCTCCAATGTGCTCTACAATCATTGTCAGTTTCTTCTAATGAAACCAATGAAAAATCTGGCTAATGCCTCAGAATAAGGACTTTTAAATGGATAATATTCTCTAACGGATTTTATTCTTTTAGGCTTCATGGTGGTAAAAGCAAATTTACAAACTGCCTTTATGTTGTTTTATTGAAAGAAAAAACTATGTTTCAAGTTCACAGTGTTACGTGCATTTGAATCCTGGGAAAGCACTATTCAAAATTGAAAATGAAAATCAAATTCATATGAAAAGCTTTACCATGTAGTCAGGGTGCTGGGAGTGTCTGCCTTTCTGAAACTACACTTCACCTGCTTCCTCCTCCTCCATTTGGTTCTGCATTACTCCTCTTTTTCCACAATTACTTATGAGTAATAAAGGAAGCCAGAGTAAGAACGATGACATGTTCCTGGCTTTGCAAGAGTGGCATACATCAAAGGAAGACATTTTTCCCAGGGAACCACAGCTTTGCAAGAGATTCACCAGGCAGGAATGAAGTTTGATATTACTGCGACATAGTAGAGGGAATGCCCTGAGTCTCCCAAAGATGGGAAAGGCACACTAGGGTACAGTCAGCTGCTGCTCTAGAGGCTAACTCTCCAAGTGTTGCTTGTGCAGTGGCAGGGTAATGAACATCTCTAAGCCTCTGCTTATTCTTAGGGAATTCGTAAATGTACTTACCTTAGAGGTTATTCTTAGAATTAAATAGACATGGAATGCTTAGCAAAATACCTGGCCCATGGTACTATATTAAATGTTAACTAGTGTTCTCACTAAAATAACAGTCTGAGATTTGGGGTTTTCTTGTTTGTTGTTTGCTTGTTTGTTGCCTAACGGTGTGTTTATAGTTTGTTAGCTGGAGAAGTCTTTTTTTAAAAAATCAGAACCAATGTGGCTATTAACAATTTTCTGAACTACCCAGATTTCATCTCCAGCCAGCCTTCCCTGCTTGTTTCTGGTTCATTTGCCTATTGGAAAAAAAAAAAAAAAGATTATCTTCTCTTCCCGGTGCCCTAGTCTGTCAGCCTGTGTTTTCAGACAGCTCTGTCTCACTCCAGAGCCCAGTCCCTGCAGGCGCCTGCCTTCCTTCTTATGCCCTGCCCTCCCCCTACTACCACCCAGCTTGTCCAGCAACACTTCTCAGATCTATTTCAGTCTAGCTCTTCAGCCTCAAAGACTTTCCCTTAACGAGCAAACCGCTTATTCATTCTCTGCCCCTCTCAAGGTGAAAGTGAATCCAGCCTGGAGTTAGTAGTTCATGTGCTGTATCTATTGGTGCCACACAGAGGTCAGGCCAGGCCTGTGGCCTCGTTTTTTTTTTGCTTTGTTGCCAATACAACTACATACATCACCCAGCTGATGGGCCAGTGTGGATCTGTCACGTGGTAATACTGACCTCTAGGGGCTGGCTTTCCTTCACATAGAGTCTTTATCTTCTCATTGAGTTCCAGAACTGTGATGGCAGCCTCTTGCTTAGCTGTTGCCAAATCAGTTTGTAGCTTTTTCACTTTCTTTTCATGCTTTAGTTTCTTAAACAAATAAAAAATAAAAAAATAAGAGTTTCCATCCCTGGGGACAGACGCATCAAAGAAATAAAAGGAATGATGTCTGAACAAACACTGCCTTTGAAGCCTGCTTAGATGAAACACTCCCTGTTTATCTAGATTGAGTCCTGTTCGAGGTTTGTGAAACAGTGTATGTGCTCCTGTCAGAGCGTTTGAACCCTCAACAAAAAAAGCCCACTCTCTACCTCATAGTATCTTTTACACTTTTGAAGAGTTTTTATCTGGGTCAGAACCCTGTTGCTTATAATAGAGGCAATTAGAAGAACTCTAGTTGCCAGTTGGCATTTGCCACCGAGGTACTAATGCCTACTAGTATCAGATTTTTTTTCCCCATCTGTAAGTAGACTCATGTGAAATAGAGCCTTGATTCTAAGTCATTTCCCCCTCAACACTATAATGGTTTGCTTTCAGATACACTCTAAAATGTGTGATGTGACCACCAAACGCTGGTGTTTTCTGATATTTAGTATGGGATCCATATGGGGAAAGTGTCAAGGGTAAGAAAGGGTCAAGCATAAGAATGGTTTTTAAGCAGTAGTGAACAGGAATGCCTTGCTCTAAAATAATTTGATTTATGAGACCTAAATCTTTGGGAGAGCTGCATCAGGAACTTGTTACATAACTGAAGGATTCACCTTGAGACTTCATGATTCAAAAGTTCCTTTTAGGGTTTCAAAGTAGATTTGATTCTTTAAAATTGGATTTATCTGCTACTTTGGAGAAGCTGTCTGTTGTGAAAGGTGTTGCATTTGTACTTTCGTGTTGCTTTTGTATAGCTACCTTTCCATTGAAGAGCTCACCTTGCCAAGTCTTTGTGTGCTGGTAATTAGGAAGCTCAGAAAACGATCTACTAACATTTCTTATCAGACATAAATCTTGAGATAGGGAAGGGATGGTTTTTGCTCACTAGGGAAGATCATGTTCTTCCCTGGCCTCTGAAGGCAGTATACTCAGGCAGCAGGGAATTACTCTACTCTTTGAGAGTAACACCAGTAAAATCAATTTATCAAAAATGGTCTTAAATAGAAACGGGCCTTTCATTTCAAAGACCCCTCATTTCACTTTTTGCTTTGTTGCCAGTATGACTACATACATCATCTGGATGATTTATGAGATCTAAACCTTTGGGAGGTCACTCAGATCAGGTTATCTTCTAGACCCCAAACAGGAAGATCAGGACTTCACTAAAGCTTAGTTAATGGCATAAACAGGGCTAAAGGAAATGTGTTACTCGAAGGAGAATGGTAGGCGTGGAACTTGTTTAAGGGGAGTTAGAGGGTAGAATTAGGCAAGGTTCAGCCAGCACAATCCATGTGAGAGGTACCCTGAGCCACAACGCAAAGGCCTGGTTTTCATAGCAGTACTTGTAAAGAGGTAGTACTAATTATTAGGATGCATCCTCTGGGTGTCAGGCATGATGCTGGCCAGATGTTGAAACATGAAGACTGATGAAGTCTCTGCCTCCAAGTTATGAAGACCTTCTAACGAATTCCCTTCTTCTGAGCCTCTATTCACTAAAAGGCTTCATAATTTGGCCTGTCATGTACATTAGTTCAGGAGAGACCGAGCTGACCAAGAAATATGTCTGAGTATTTGGCAGCTGGACAGCTGTGTTTTTCAATTATTAAGTTGGCATTTTAATATATACCTCTGTCTCTTGTGAGCTGGTTTGGGTCAGCTTGTTCATGAGGATCTTATCTATCCCAGGCCTGCAGTGACAGCACCTTGTGAGGTCCTGGATGGTCACCATTGACCTTTTCCTCTTCAATACTCTTCCATGCTTAAATTTCTACTTTCTTTTTACAATTTAGAACTTTGGAGATATAGAGTAGGAGGAAGGGTACAGAAATGAAAATTGAGAAAGTGGAGAGAATGAGGGAAAATAAGACAAGAGAGATTGCGAAAGGAGTGCTAGAAAGTGTCCAAAAGGAACTAACAATGGTATGTGTGCTGAAATGTTAAGGACTAGGTGTGCTAATAAGAGCAAGTTGCACTGAAATGCATAAATAAGACAGTTGGATAGAGAAAAAATAGATACCTGATAAGATGAAGAAGATAGTAAAATATTCATTGTAGAATCTATTTTTTGACTTATATGCGTGTTTACTACATAATTATTTCAACTTTTTTGTATGTTTGCAATTTTTCATTATAGGATATTGGGGGAGAAAGAACTAAGATTTATCTTCCTTACATTGCGCCTCCCTTAATTCTTAATAAATGGTATTCAGATTCTCAAATCATGTCACAACTCTTCACATGCAGATATGTATTTTTCCAGAAACTTTTCTCAAAGTATGCATTGACAGTAAATAAACACAAGAAAAAATAAATGCAGTGAGGTGAGAATTAATGAACAGTCACTAGGAGCTGCCATGGTGTCTGTCACTAAGAAAAAGGCTTACCAAGCTACATTTTCATTTTGATGGAATAATTTGATGAATAGAATTCAGGAACTCAGTGAACAGAGACAGGGTTTCTCAATATCAGTTAAGAATTTCACCTTTCTAGGTACACATTTTAACTCTTTTAAAAAAAATATTCAATTACCAGAAAACACATTCCTGTCTGTCTTTTACGGTGATTGTATTGTTCTATCTCTTCTATTATAATATTTGTATATTTACCTTATAATCTGAGAAGGAAATTGAGACTATTTAGTTTGGAGAAGACATTACAGTATACAGGGCAGTCACGGCAGTTGACTTTAGTTACCTAAGGGACTATTCAAGAGGAGAGGAAGCTGAGTCAAACAATGTTGTTTTCAAGATAACACGAAGAACAATGGGTAGAAACCATGAGGAGGCAGACGTTGGCACAACATGAGAAAGAACCCGCCGACAATCAGAGCTGCATCCAGAACAGGATAGGATGCATCCTGGCAAAGACCTCCTGCTCTGGGAAAGATCAAGCAGGGACTGGATGGACATCTTCAGACAGGCCCTTGGTGACCTGTGGGACCTGGGTTGAGAGGTCACTGGAAGTTGGGCTTCCCTCAACTCTTTCCACTTCTGGCTTTCTCCAGCTCCCTGAGGGGCACAGCACATGAGTAAATGAACATCTCAGCCCTCAAAGCCTCCAGGGTTGGTGTAGTTGGTACACTTTAAAGATAATTCTGGTATTTGTGAGAAGTTGGATAAGAAGGCCAAGAAAGCCTGTGGGTCCCTTAGAATTCAAGGATGATGTGAATCAAAATGTCACTTTAATATTTAGCTATAAGGGAGGGGAAAATTAAATTTAAATTAAAGATTGGATAAAAGACTTAGATTGGCTGTCTAACGTTTCTGTTGAGACCTTTTGATTACTCAGATACACTTAAAAATAGTTCAACATCTTCATCTTTTTTTTTTTTTTCTTTTCTTCAGAAAGAATTGCTCTCTGCTATTAATTCATAGCTTTAACCAAGCCCTTTGGGCATTTCAAACAATTCAATTTGCCAACATGTTTTTTATTAGTCATAGACATCAAATGATTTCAACAACAATAATATTTTCCTTGCTGTTTGCCGTTCACTAGCCAGGCAACCCAAATGTCATACTTGAATCGAATGCAGTCTGTTATGGTCTCCTTAGTAACTAGGAACTCTCTTTGGTGATTACTGAAAGGATAGGAAGGCTTTATAGCTTGGAGGTAAATTCCTATTACTGTGCTCTTTTCCTACTTCTCCTACTAGGTGGAAAGAGGGAGGAAATCATGTATTTGTGCAGTGTTTTGAAAAGGAAATATCTATTCGTATCGTATTGCTGAATGGCTTGCATTATTCCAAGTTAATGAGAATTAGAAATAACCAGGGAACTATTCATAGAAGAGGGTCAACACAAAGTTGCCAGCACTGTTTAAAATTTCTGGGTATTTCCACATACTTTAAACTGTGGCAGTTACCCAATCGCCTGGCCCATGACATTTCTAAGCCTTAGATTCATGTCATAGGACTACTGTGGGAATCCAAGGACATAACATAGAAATGACAGCACCCGGCACTATGCCATGTAGTAGTTATGTCTTTCTGGTTTTGTCATTACTCTTAAAACACATAAGAGAAAGTTTGAACTCTTCACTAAAACACTAAGCATCTTCTCTAAGGATACTTTAGAGGATACTAAGGATAGAGAAGGTATCTTTTCTAAGCACCTTCTCTAAGAATACTTTAGTGTTTTAGTGAATAATTGAAATGTTACAGAAAATAAAATGGAAGTTGTCATACTTTACAGAAAATAAAATTTGTACTTAATTGAAAGCAAGACATTTCATTTCTTCTTCTTTTTTTAGAAATTAAGTTTTCCGCATGATTGCATTGATCTCCTCCTCACTTTGGATGGGTAGACAAAACTTAATGTTCTGAAAACAGACATGCAAATAGCCTTGATTCAATCTCCTGCCAGAGCTGGCCCGGTGCCTAGGCAAAGTCGGTGACTGCCTGCGTGTAATGATGTGAGGAGCACTCCAAGGCACTGCCTCTTGCTCCTCACAGCAGCTCTCTCTTGGGCCTGCCAGGGCAGAGCTTCCTCCCACTTTATCTGAAGTTTACTCTGTCCATCCCAGCCTCCTTCACTTAAGAGCCTGTATAACAAAGGGATTTTGTCTTCAGTGGCCCACTAAGAAAATGCTCACTACTGAAGACGTAAAAGAGAATTTGGTTTGAATACAGAAGGTATACAAGGGTTCTTCCTTGCATTTCTCTTCTAATAGCCAATCAATAATAGTAATGAAAGTTATAAATAGTGATAGAATTTGGATACAACTTGTCTTTAAAAGTCAATTTTAGATGTTTTGTATTTATAATACCCTCAGGAGAATATTTTAAAGTCTAGGGATGTCAAATGTGTGTCATGTATGTTCTTTTTCAGTTCATGGCAGGCCTTTGATTTGGGGATTCTTTAACCCTGTGTTGCACCCCTGGATTCACAATCATTTGGTCACACTTTCAGCAGCCACTGCCCATTGATGAAACCTGTCATCTGTGT